AAGATGCTCAGAAGAGGAATAGCTAGGTCAAATGTGACCTCTAAGCTTAGTTATTGAGAATTCTCTGCACTGATTTCCATTGTGGTTTCACCAGTCCATACTCCCACCATATTTATCATTCTTTCCCCCTCTCCCCGGAACCGGGGATTGAACTCAGGCCCTTACACTTGCCAGGCAAGCACTTATTCTACTGAGCTGTCTCTCCCTGGCCCCTCATATTTACCATTTCTGAGATGAAACTTCAAGCTACTTGGAGAGAGAAACGATCTGTCAGGGGCCACACTGTGAGGAGCTGACATGGTCTAAGTGTCCAACAGTTAATTAGGAACGGAGACAGAAATTAATTTAACAACAGGGAATCTATGTGAAAAGATAGTCAACCCAGATTTCTTTTTTCTTTTTTTTATGTTAAGAAGGTTTTTTTTTTTTTTTTTTAAGAACAATATTGACAGAGGATCTACAAACTGCAGTACAGGGTTTCAGGATAAATGCTGAGGGTTTTTGGCTAGCTCAGGCTGCCTTAAAAGTGGATCTGGTAAGGCTTGTGAAACTAAGGATGGAACCAGTATCCTGGCCTGACTGTGTTTGCATAAGCAGGCACTTAAACAACTGAGTTAACTGGAAGGCCCCTCAGATTTCTACTTTCCAGATGGCTCTAAGTCCTGAAAGCCTTCACTGTTGTAGGTGTGGAAGAAACAGAACTTTTTCTGAATTTTCCTGTGGTCTGAATTCACCTGACTCTGCATACCAGAGAGAATGTGATCTGTGGGTGTTCAGTCCTGTTGTAAACATTTTTTTTTTTTTTTGAGGGAAGGAAAAGTTTATTTAGCTCACAGTTACTTGAGGTTTCAGCACACTGGAGGAGAGGCTGGGGCACTGCCATATCCAGGATGACCCTCTCCACATCTCTGAGAAAGCACAGGCTAGCCAGTTTAACAGGTCACACCTCTCTGGCCCTGCCCCTCTGATCCCACCCTGGTCCTCTGTCCCAGCCCCTCAAGCCTCTTGTTCCTCCAGCTGCATCTGCCCCATAATTTACGTGAGGCATTGGAGGGACTAGACACAAACCATAACATTCTGCCCCTGGACCCCCCCAAAGTCTCATGCACATCTCTTTGTCCAAAAGGCATTTTAGTCTGTCTCTAAGAGTTGCCAAAATCCCAACAATTTCAGCATTGTTGAAAAGTCCAAGTCCCAAGTCTCCTCCAAGATCCAAGGCAAATTCAACTGTGAGCTCCTATATAAATAAAAAGTTAAATACATCCAACATTCAAAGGCACAAGATAAACATTGCTATTCCAAAAGGTATACACAGAAGGATACAAACCACTGGGGCCAAAATGAGTCCAAAATCCAGCAGGGCAAACATTAAGTCCTATAGTTCCATATGGAACATCCAAAGCAATCTGTGGCAAATCATGAGCAACATGTGGCTCCACCTTTATGGCACTTCTGGTGGTGGTAGCTCCCATGGCTTCTCTCTTAGGCTGGCTTTGCTCCCTCCTTGCAGTTTTCCTTAGATGATCCTCATTTCCTGGCTTTTCCAAATTTCTGGGGTTTCCATTGAATATGCTTCTCACTCACAGCTTCACACACTGCCCTCTCAGGGGCACATGCCTGGCCTCCCAGTCCTTCTTCTGAAATCTAGGTGGAAGTCTTCTTAACCTCAGAACTCCTGCATTCTGCATATGTCTAAAACCAACACCATGGTCTATGGATAATGCCAAGGTCTTCTGCCATGTAAACATCTTTAGAAGTTTGTGATCTCTGCGTGTCTACGGCTCCCAGTGTGGCTTTATTCCTTCACAATAGGAAAGGGCAAGAGCGACATCCCAGTTTTTACCTGACAGCCCAAATTTTAACATGCACAATCCTGCTCAGAGATGGAACTCTGATATGTACACAAGGAATTTAAAACATCTTCTAAAATTATTCTCTATATCCCTAGTGTGGTTGTGGATGCCTGTAATTCCAGCATTAGGGAGACAGCAGGAAGATCATGAGTTCAAGGCCAGCCTGGGCTACATAATGAAACCCTGTTGCAAAACAAAACAAATAACTATTCATTACAGTATCTTTACTTATCATAAATTCAACTATCTTAAATCTGTTTTTAAAAATTCTTTACCTTAAAATTTTATAGCATAGCCCCAGAAACCATATTTGTAAACTGGAATATCTTAGCAATGCTTTGTTGTTGTTTTTGTTGTGTCATTTTTGTACTTGAGGTTGAATTTCTGGGCTATAACCCAGCCATTTTTGTTCTGTTTTGAGATCTCATTAAATTGCTCATTACAGGTGAGGACCACTACACCTGACTGCACTGCAATTTTTTGAGAACCAGGGCTTGAACTCAGGCCCTTGCGCTTGCCAGGGAAGCACTTATTCCACTGAGCCACCTCCCCAGCCCCCTGCACTGTATTTTTAATTAACGTTTGTCCTATTCTTTCTCCTTCTAGAAAAAGTTATTATTTGTGGAGACAGGGTCTCTCAAAGTAGTTCAAGCTGCCCTTGAACTCACAGTGATCCTCTTGCCTCAGCCTCTGAAGGGCTAGGATTACAGACATATGCCATCATGCCAGGCCCTCCTTCTGGAAAAATTAAGAATACAGAAATGTAAGGTTGCCTCAGAATGAATGTGGTGAAATAGTTCCCCACTCTCACCCTGACATCTGCACAGGACCAGTTGTGCATCCCCACTTCCATAGCAACTGGCCGCTGTGAGTGGGTCTGGTAGTCAATCAGTTCCTCTCTAATTTTATTTTATGAAAGAACCTGATGTCTTTGGCCTATGGATACATTGCATGATTATTGGTGACACTTTCAGGTCCTCGTCTTGGTCCAAGAAGCCAATATTTGTAATCCCAAAGTCACGTTATTGGAATCCCATCAAGTTGATTCCAATCTACCACTTACAATGCAACCCATGGCAAAAATAAAGACACTAAATTATATTTTCAATCATCGGGGAGTCAAGGGGATCTAAGTCCAGTCATGAAGATGGCTTTCTGGAACCAAGAGAGTGACCCAGGGCCTCACCCAGTTTTTATTCAGTAGGGGAATGGCTTGAGGAGGATTGACTGAGAATTGTAGGAAGTAGGTGATCATTGTGAGCTGAGCTAGGTGTGTGGCCTAAATTTACCTCTGCGATATGCAGAGAGAGTAATCTGCATTATATAGTATCTAATGTTTTGGTAAGTCTGGTGCTTCAGCTTTGGTGTAGCCTTTCAAGTCCCAGGAAGTCATAGCTTCTGTCTCGAGGCTTGATCCCAGCTGGTGCCATGGAACATTAGCTCTACTGTCCTGTCTCAACCTAGCTCACATTAAAGAGCAGCAGGTTTAGATTACCAGGGAAACACGCATACCACCTTCAAAGACTATCACCAGCACCTCAGCTAGACCAATATACATTGCTTAAGGCCAATTGAAGGATAAACAGAAGTTCTAGCCAGCTCTGTGCATAACAATACAAGGAAATAGGGTCAGGCTCAGTCAAAATAGAGGCAGCTCTTCTTTCAAGGAGAGCTGCTTAGGTGGTCCTTCACACATGATTCCGCCTGCAAGCAGCAAAAGTAAGATTATGTTGCATTTTAGGGAGTGTTATGGTTTGTGTCTAGTTGTCCCCCCACAGCCTCATGTAAATTATGGGGCAGACTAGGCTGGAGGAGCAATGAGTGGCTTGAGGGATGGGGCCAGAGTACCAGGGCAGGGCTCAAGGGGCGGGGCCAGAGGACCAGGGCAGGGCTTGAGGGGA